GACAGGCAGTTTGTACATTTACCCTGCCTTAGCTAATATATGCCCGTCTGAGACAAGTGGACAGGCAGTTTGTACATTTACCCTGTCTTAGTTAAAATATGCCTGTCTGAGACAAGTGGACAGGCAGTTTGTACATTTACCCTGTCTTAGCTAATATATGCCCGTCTGAGACAAGTGGACAGGCAGTTTGTACATTTACCCCGTCTTAGCTAAAATATGCCCGTCTGAGACAAGTGGACAGGCAGTTTGTACATTTACCCTGTCTTAGCTAAAATAAGCACGTCTGGGAAGGCTGGATGGGCCTTAATTTTGACCCTTTTTATTTGCTTGCATCTTACAGAAGGAAATGCTAGAGACTGTAGGCACTTTACTTCCTACTAGAATCCAAACAACTGCTTTGTCGTGATAAAATTCCAATGGAAACTGTGGTGTACTTAAAGTATAAAATGACACTTTGCTCATTACTAGATAGAAAAGGCATTAGTGGAGCAAGCATTATACTGTAAAATACTTTATTTTCGCTGAAAAGTCTTTTTGGGTATTTTGTATAGAATTTATTTTCACTGTTTTGGATGAGTTGAATATAAAATATAGGAAAAGTATATTTGCTGGATTTTCTTTTCACTGAATCATTCCTTTAGCGAAAATAGAGAAAATTAATTCTAAGCGAAAATAAAGTATTTTACAGAATTAACTAAATGAACAGTTACTCAGTTTATGGTGTTATTGCAAGTAGATTTTATATCAGGAGAGTCAAATTTATAGATTTTGCCAATTTGGGAACAACGCAAAATTTAACAGTTGTATGTGTTGGTTCTTTATTCAGAATTACTCGTAAAATGGCTGCTGTGAAAGTGTCCTATCTCGGGCATGGTGGTGAGACGTCAGGCAGGGTGTTAGCCAGCCAGCAGTCCACCCACCAAACGGACTGGAAACTTTGATTTTGGACTGGCAACTTTGATTTTGGACTGGCAACTTTTTTCAATTTTTCTGTTTTTTTTCTATTGTTCTTTGATAATTTTACCAAAATATATCCAAAACCATCTACATTTTCATGAAGTTGAATTGTTTTTGGACTGGCAGTTTCAAATTCCTGGCTAATAACCTGGTAAGGTGCCAGTCTAAGAGACTCCAATGAAATGTTTACAATGACTTTTAGTGAAACAATGGGAATCTCTAACAGTGAAACATTTTAAAGTTGTTTCTATAATTGTTTTGGACCTAATAGACATTATTTTCTTTGGCTACCGACCTTGATCCAAATTTATGTTTTAATTTTTTGAAAGATGACAAAATTTGATTGGCACTCG